ACTACGTGCTTACAAGTGTTAGCTCATCAGGTTACGGATGAGGAAACTGAGGCACAGGGTGTCACTGGAAAGCACCCCCCGCCCGTGAGTGTCAGACCTGGCGCTCTGCCTCATGCCGACTGGCCTCAGAGTTCATCACCTTTGTCCTAAGCTGCCTCTCTGATAAGAAACTAGAGCTTTGAAAAGAGCAGTTAAGTATCCTGGTTGTGCCCGCGTTCTCGTGTCTTCATGAAGGCTGTGCACATCTGTGGGCGTGATTATACACACACAGGTATTCACACACACACATAGATACACACAACACTTAGTATGAGCAAAAACTACTCTTTGTCTAACCCGTTTTAAAAAAAAAAGCATGATTTGTATGTAGTTCCTCCCTGACATCCCAATTAATTGTGACTTCAGGACATTAGCAGATTCCTGTTTATAGCTATTTCACTGTTCGATTTGGTTGGAAAAAGGAGTTATGCCATGCAAAACTAAAACAAACCTTTTGAATCGGTTTAACAAAAAGCTCACTTTTTATTCAGTTTATTAAAGTTCTAAATCTATTTATCATAATTTTATACCCATTGTGTCTGGGTCATTAAAAAAGTTCACCAAAATATTGCAATTTGTATGACAGTGGCCAGGCACCTTAGCCTGGACAATTATTGGGTTCATTATGGATAATTTGGTAGCTGTTCCCTCATGCTAGGAATTTACCCCGCAACCTGTGTCCTATGTCTCCAGCTGCATTTGGTTCACTGGAACCCCAAGTACAACACGTTTGGAGAAGCTTTGAAGCAGCCTGATGGGATAGCCGTGGTTGGCATTTTTCTGAAGGTAAGGTGAAACAGTGACCCTAGTTTTTCCTTTCAAAATTTGCTTCCTTACCAATGCTTAGGATTGCATGGGTTTCACTCCCTGCTTTTGTTTGAAGGGGAGAAAGGAATGGATTTCATCATTCATTCAACCAATCAAAACATTCCTGCTCAGATGCTTTGCTTTCCTTTACAAGCGCACCCTTGGCTATGCTCCAGGACCCCTAGCACTTCTAACAGTTCTCAAGACGTGGAGCTAGAATGAGTGTGTGGGCGCGCGCGCATGTGTGTAGGGTGGGTTGGGGACACGTCCTTGAAGGCGCTCATTACGGTGGTGGTGACAGCACCGGTCACATTGTTCAGCATCCTTTCCCACTGTCCCCTTTCCATTGCACGGGAAACCAGAACACCCAGCGCTGGGAACCGCTGTGACGCCCAGTGCCCGGCTGCCCACCCCGCGGCTGACGGCTGGCGGCACCACCGCGCACATGGCCCCGGCTAAGGCAGCCCGTGGAATGCGTGTGTTGTTGAGCCAGCCTTGGTTTAAAGAGGCCTTAGTGTCATTAACACATGAATTTAGTGGTAACATAATCTAGATTTTAAGCCAGAGGTGAAAATCTAGCCTTTCTTTGTGAATGACCTAATTTGTTTTCTGTTCTTAATTCACGGGTCCTTCTCCACTCCTGAACACAACACAAAAGGACGTGGAGCGGGTCTGAGTGGGAAGACAGTGGGTGTAGTTTTAGATACAGTGAGTCCATCCCAGCTCTAATTCTATATATATAAAAAAATGTAGAATGACTTTGCAGAACAAGTCAAGGACATAGAAGTAGATCAACTTGTAATTTTGTGGTTTTCTACTTCAGAGGCCTAGAGTCCAAGTTTAGTTCAGAAAATATATACTTTAATTTGGGGGGCGAGGGAGAATAAACTTATGTTTTTGCTTAGTCCATGATTTTCTGGCAGATTTATAAGCACTGGTTGCAGAGGGATGGATCAAAATCAGTTTTTAAGACAATCCTAAATTATGGAGAAGGGAAAACTATAATTACTGGTTTTCTATTTTCTTACAGATAGGACGTGAGAAGGGTGAATTCCAGCTGGTCCTTGACGCGCTGGACAAAATCAAGACAAAGGTAAAAAAATTCCTTTTCCCTCAGAGAACAGAAAGCAGGGTCTGTCCATTTTTTCTTTTTACATTTCAAGTATACTTCTTCCACCTAAAGTCTGTTACAAAGTTTGATGCATATGCTAAGCACATGAATAAAGTAATTATTTTTCTATAGTTTTTAGAGCAATTTCACATACATCAACTTGTTTAATCCTCCTAATCAGTCTGTCAGGTAATTGCTTTCTCAATGAAGGGGATGAGAGAGAGGCTGAATGGTCACCCCCACAACACACACACACACCACATGCACACATGCACACACATCATGTGCACACACACAACACAAGCACACAGACAACACATACCACATGTATACACGCACATCAAATGCACACACACTACATGCACACACACCATGTGCACATGCACACAACACAAGCACACATGTATACACACACACAACAGAAGCACACAGACAACATACACCACATATACACACACATCACATGCACACACATCACGTGCACACACACCATGTACACACACATATCACATGTGCACACATATCACATGCACACACACTGCGTGCACACACACATCACATGCACACACACATCACATGCACACACACATACCATGTGCACACACACATCACATGCACGCACACATCACACACGCATCACATGCACACACACCATGCGCACACACATCACATGCACACACACACTACGTGCACACATGCACACACACCATGTGCACACACACACACCACATGTGCACACACACGTTTGAGTCCTGGTGTTGCCCTCTCACTTCCGTGCAGCGCCTATAACATTTTTCATCTCTTCTAATTAACAGATTCATTTTAATTGTCTTTGGGGCTGTTCTAGCCAAAGGCCAGTCAGTGTCACCACCAGAGAAAGTCAGTGTTCTGTCTTCACTAACAGTGTGAGCCTGTTTTCAATCGCCGAGAACCAAAGCATCACCTTGCACGATCTATTCGTGTTTCAGTTTAGATGGGAGTCTCCTTGCTGTTGAGACGTGATAGAGCTGCAGCCCTAGCGCCAGTTAACCAGGAGCAGGACATTGCAATGACTGTGCCAGGCCCAGTCAGACCGTGCACACCAGCCCCGCCTCTGCAGGGCCCTTTGTTTCTGAAAGGCGAACCCTTTGTGTCACAGCCCCGTTTTCTCTGCTGCGTCTGAATCCATGCCCACGCGTGAGGGGGTGAGGGCCTGCCTGGGGGAGGCAGGTTGCTCGCTGGCGCGCCCCTGCTCAGGCACCTGCCCGCTCTGCAGGGCAAGGAGGCGCCCTTCACGAACTTCGACCCGTCCTGCCTGTTCCCCGCCTGCCGCGACTACTGGACCTACCACGGCTCCTTCACCACGCCGCCCTGTGAGGAGTGCATCGTGTGGCTTCTGCTCAAGGAGCCCATGACCGTGAGCTCCGAGCAGGTGAGCGCTGTAGAGACACAGGCTGCGTGGGAGACCCACAGCTGCTAAATGGGCGTGCCCGGCACAGCGCGGCCCCGAAGGTGCCATCGTTCGCCCGGGTTACTTTGGCTTCCCAAGGGGACCCGGCTGGTGGCAGGTCACCGAGGCGGTGGTGGTAACGCCGGGCAGGGTCCGAGTTTGCGCTCTCCAAACACCGAGGGTTTCCAGTCCTACGAGTTTAGTCTGTTCATGTGTAAGACCCCCCCCCCCTCAAATGCTGAGCACTGGTTAGGAGACAGAGGGTAGACAGGAGCCTGGGGAGCAGGGTGCTAACGGGAGGGGTTTACCATCCTTGTGAGGCGTGCTGTGTTTCTCCAGCCTTCCAGGTAAGCTGAGGCTCAGAAAAGGTAAGTACTATGCGCAGGATCACACAGCTGAGGGCAGGAACCGAGGTTCCACGTCCCGTCTGGCTGCCTGCGACACCTCGGACCTGTCAGCTGGTCCTTCCTTCTCGCTAAAGAATATCCTTGCAGCGTTCAGTAAAGAGACCTTCGGGGAAAGACTGGGAGAAAATGAGTGGATAGTAGACTCACGCACATACGGCCCTTTTGATCAAAAGGTCAGATTTAACCATCACTGATATAAATATTTTGGAACAGGAATGGAATTTTCTTAAGGAGACAAGCTAAAATCATTTTAATATATGGAAACAATAGCATTGCTGATACGAATGTCCTAAATTCTTCTCCCTTAAGAAAAAGATCAGTTCTTAAAAATTGTAAAGGTAGCATGGCTTTTGTTTCTTTCTGTGCTTTAAAAAGGAATAATAAATCGACTCCATAAATGTATCCAGTGAAGACCAATGAAGCGTAGTATTTGCAGTGACACTGTCCTCTCCTCCTACGTAAGGCGTATGCTCCATACTGATCCCTCCCATGAAAATCATGGTTTCAGAATTCCGGAGGAGCAGGCTTGGGCCAGAGGGCATGGTGGCCCTGTATAAAATGAAGACGTGTTTATACATGAAGAACAGGTCTGTATTACTCAGGACCTGGTCACCAGAGAACTCTGGACTGAGCGTTGGAGGCAAGGTTTATGGTTTGCTTGTCTGCTCAAAAGGCCAGCGATTTCTAACTCTGTTGTACGCATCATATGTCCTCTTGGTCTGACATGTGCTGACCCCTGTCCCTTGCCCCTGGCAGATGGCCAAGCTGCGCAGTCTCCTGTCCAGCGCCGAGAACGAGCCCCCAGCGCCCCTGGTGGGGAACTGGCGCCCGCCGCAGCCCATCAAGGGCAGGGTGGTGAGAGCCTCCTTCAAATGAGCCCTCTCAGGAAGGGACGCCTGCCACCGGAGGGCTTGGTTCCTGGCCTCCTTTGGTGCTTCTAACGCCAAGCACATTTCAGTTTTCACATTGAGCAAAGGATGCGAGAGATGTAGTCACCAAGAAACCCAGGTTACGGTTGACGAGATCGAATAGGAAAGCATTTGGTCTCTGTAATAATCGTCTTTCCTATAAAAGTAGCATTTCTGGTAATGTTTCAAAGAAGAAAAAAGAGGGTGTAGACTAGTAAACATATAGAAAACGGCTATTGGGCACCATTTTTTCTGTCATCTTCCATTTCACAGAAGTTCAGTTTTACTGTTTTCATATTACGCGTTGTCCATCTTAAAGCCATAATGGGTAATTCTATATGTAAGAGAAGAGGTGTCTGTGACCGTACAACAGTTACACAGAAGCAGATATTAAAATGATTATGGACACCAAGAATTGAGATGATGGTGTGTTTTAATGCTTAAATAAAAGAGGTCTATCATTTATTAAAATTGTACCTACTGTAAAGGTGACCTGGTTTTGACTATCAGTGAAAGGAAAACACATTTGACCCAGAGTTTAAAAAAAAAAAAATTCGAACCAGTATTTTAATTTCTTCTTCATAAAGATGGTTGACTTTATCCTAACATTTTTCTTTACCTGAAGGAGGGCCATTTATTTTTAATTTTACTACTTTTCTTTCTGCATGCTTGTGACAATACAAACTGCCTCCGATATCTTTCTAATTAGAGGGTGGAACTAACAATTCCTAGAACACGCAGGAGTGAATGACTGCGCTTAAAATAAAGCAGTTGGAATGAGCATCAAAACTAATAAAGACATGAATGCAAAGAGTTGAGTGCTGTTTCTGTTTTGCGTTGTTTTGTTTATGGAAAGGGGTTGTACGTGACAAAAATGGAGTAAAACTAAGAATGGCAAACCTTGTGAGTCTGTTTTTATAATTGGAGGGTAGCGGTAACAGACTCAGAGGTTCAGTGAGCGCCTTTTGAGGAAGCTGTTTACAAGAAGAGGAATGTGTGGCCACAAACTGGAGACAGACTGGAGAGTGTGGACTGGTTTCCAGAGGCGTCAACGCTGGTTTAGGGTTTGGGGGTCACACTAGTACCCATGGGTGCTTGTGCGCGGCGGTGGAATCCAGTCAGGCTGTAGCTTTTATGTCCTTATTTTTTTAAAATGTGCATCAGGGTGACACTGGCCCAACACAGAAAAAGTCCATCAATTTAGACCTTCAAAATATTGAATACTTAACATTTAATATCTTGACACATAAAGTCTCATTTTGCAGCTAGTGGCTTTGGTATGTCTTTCATTACCTCACTGGTTAGTGGGTTGATTTTCTTTAGAAAGTGGCAGCGGTACGTTTGTTACCCAGAGGAATGAAAGTGGTATTGGGTCAGGAGAGTCCTGCGAGGCCGGAAGTCATGTGACACAGTCCTGGGAGGCTAACGTAATTTAATAGATCACCACTTGGGTGAAGTAAAACCAGGTTGGTCAGTGGAAATGGGATATGTTAATTAAATCCCTTGAAATTAGGAGGTGTGGAGCTTTCATCAATTAGTGGAGACACTCAGCTGATTCTCTCAGGGTGCTTCCTTAGTCATGCTTAGAGCACGGTAAAAGGTTGGACAATTAAGTTCGTGAGATTGTTGCAATTATGTTGCTAACCTTTTNAGTACGCTTCTGCACCGCCGTGACTTAAAAATCATGAAATGGAAAGTAGTGACCTTAGCAGTATCTGTCTGTTGGTCGGCAAAAGAACTATTTCTGAGAGAGAGGGTTAGCGCTAGCATCAGCGACATGTCGTTTATCTGTATCTGCGGTGAAATCTAAATTGAAGATAAATGCTAAAGTCAATGTATGTTAAATTTACGAAAATTTTTTTATAATTTATTCCACGCAATTCAATAGCTATATATCTGGAATTTTTTTATTACTTTATGTTTGTTAAAAGGACAGTAATTCTTTACAGGGCAAGTAATAATGAACCTTTCTTCCCAGATTATCACAGCCAAAGAGAAAGCCTTCTTTATTTCCTTAAAAACCATCCACATAGATTTTAGTAGCCCAACGTCCTGGCGATGTGAAGTGTGAAGAAATGGTTATTCCTGAATGAGCACTGATGGATGCATTTTTTAAACATTCAGTGTGGGGTTCATGTCACTTCTTAATTACAGCCGGGGGACATCTGTGCACTGTCATCGCCCTGTCTCAAACCAGGTGGTGTGGCTGGCAGCTCTCTGACCCCAACGCCGATGCCCACTCGTCCTCTTCTCAATCAAGTATCAATCTGGGAGGTGTGTGACTGAGGCCACAGATGAAAAGCTCTGACCAGCTGTTTCTTGCAGGCTCGGGTCTGATCCCTGTGTGAAGAAAATAATACCTTAGAAAAGGAATTGTGCTTCCAAACACGCTGCTTGCCAAATGCAGAACAAGCCGTCTGTTTTGGAAGAGCCGCGAGCATCAGGCTGGCTGCGAGCGAGGCATTCCCACGCCTACGGCTGCCCAGGACGTACAGCAAGGTCTGTCCATCTCCTCTGAATGGAGGTTTCTCTGTGTGAATTGTGTGTCTTTTCTATGCCTCCTTGGCACCTTCGGGAAAGAAGAACATCTTCAAAATCAATAGTAAAGGATGACCTACTGGGCATGAAACTGAAAACCCCAGACTTGGTCCGAATGGCCACCCTTGAGGATTCAAGCTCCAACAGGACCGAGGGATAAACTGTCAGTAGAACATGGCGGTTTAATAAGGGATTAGCCGGGGAAACACAGGACAGATCGTCCCCCAGAAGGAGCAGGACATCCTGGTCTCTCTGATCATGTTATTCCCCACCAGACCCACTGTTTTCCCTCTGGTTCTTATCTGTCCTTCTCAGGTCGCAAGCCTGGGTTCAAACTTCCTTGGCCCTGAAGCGTGGATATGCTTTACCAATCTCTCCATGTTGTTGACACTCATAAATATTAACTAACAAAGACCAGGACCTCTGGTCTAAAGAGTGAGATCTGAAATGCTTTCAGGGGCCTCAGAAAGAAGTGTTGGCTTTTCCTTACATTGCAGTTCACGTTCACAGGTCCTACAAGTCCTTCTTGTCCACTTATATGAAGTAATCTTTTGTTTTCGGTTTAAAATATAATACATTGGATCTTACAAAAGAATCTGTATGAGTGTTGACTAGAAATTCCTTAAAGTTTTTTGAATTCGCATGATACTTCTGAGGTGTGACGAAAACCACATTTTTACCCCAGCTAATTCTGATATGTCTGTCGTTCCAGAAGTACCACTTCTAGATGCGCAGGGAAGCAGCTGAAGGAAAACATCCATCCTTGCATGTGACACAACACGTTGTTCCAGACATCAGTACTTACGCTGGTCTCGTTCAACACTTTTAGTTCTTTGGGGTTTCGGATGAGCAGTATTCATATTGCATTTGGCTTTTCAAGGCCACAGGCAGAGAATATGCTTATTTCTTGGGGCGATGGTGAGCTGGCATTTCAGAGATGGCGTATTAACATTTTTATTGTAAAGAGTCCTCTGCTAAACCAAGGTAGGTGGCTCACGGAAATCTGCAGTCACTCCCTCTCCCTGTGGAATTCCCCCTTCCTGATTTTATGTCCTCTGAAGAGCAGGATGTTTTAGAATCACTGTGCAGACCAGGTAATAATGGTTTACCACTGTTGTGCTTTTATCTACCGGAATCATTGTCAGATAAGGAAATTTCTGGTTTGAGAAGATTTACCTCAAAATTTCATACTTGTTTTAAGTGATTAAAATACCAAAGATCAAGCAATATGCCTGGGATTTCAGTTGACAANCGAGTGGCTCAGTTGGTTAAGAGCTCGCTCAAGAGTTTGAGCTCTGAGCAACAGCGGTTCGAGTCCAGCCCGAGCTGAGCAGCCGCTGAGCAGCCGCTGAGCAGCCACTGAGCAGCCGCTGAGCAGCCGCTGAGCAGCCGCTGAGCTGCCAACAGGTAGCAGGATGGCTCAACTTAAAAAACAAACAAACAAACAAAAAACTGAGGAGGATGATGTACTTAGATGAATGGCCAACAAAGGTGACTTCAAGTTGGTGACTGTTATGCTGAAGCCTGAATGATGGGCAAGAAGCTGTCGCGTGCACAGCCTGGGTGCACAGCCTGGGTGCACTGTAGCTAGAAGATTCAGCTGAGAGGCCCTGAGGCAGCCAGGAGGTTCATACGTTTTAGGCATGAACAGAAGAGATGGACATAGTCCAATGAGGAATACCTCTGGCTGGGACTGGGATGATAGCAGTGGAAATGCAGACATGTGGATGAACTGAAGGCATATGTTGGAAGTTGAAATCAGACACTAGAAATGTGGTGTGCAAACGGTCTTGGTCCCGACGTGATGATTCACCTCAAACGACATCGAAAGCAGACATTCATCAGGGGAAGGCTCTCAGTGTGGTGGGATTTTAAAGGCGTTGTGTTTTTTGAGCTCCTACCAAGGAACCAAACAATCAATTCGAATGTGTATTGTTGGCAACTGGACAGTTTGAATGAATCCATCATCCAGAAACGTCCAAAGCTCATTAATTGTAAAGGAGTGTGTTCCATCACGACAAGGTGAGACCACACACAAGTTTGATCACCCGTCAAAAATTATTGGAGCTTGGATGGGATGTGTTGCCACACCCACCATACTCGCCTGACCTTGCGCCGTCAGACTTCCACTTGTCTCGCTCTCTTCAAAACTCCTTGCGTGGTATAACGTTCAATTCAGATGAGGCTGTAAATCAGCACCTTGTTCAGCTTTTCACAAATAAAGACAGGTCCTTCCAAGAATGAGGAATTATGAAGCTCACTGAAAGATGGCAAAAGGTTATTGAACAATACAGGCAATATGTCATTGATTGATCTTTGTTCTTTATATAAATAAATGACCTTTGAAAAACATAGACAAAATACATCATTACTTTTCCAACGACCCAATAGACAAACATTTTGGACAAATGCAATTCATTTTCCTTAATGGGCAGAAGTGGATCCTCCTTTAGACAATTCACTTTCTATTAGTTAGAAATTCTCAATCCCACATCCCTCCATCCATCCTTCCCTCCATCCCTTCCTTCTTACCTGCCTGCTTTTCTCCAACAGTATTGATTGATTACATGGCCACTGGATGTCAAGCCCTGGGCTAGGTTTTGGGCAAGATAGTCCTGGTTTCTGCCTTCATGAAGTTTTCATTTACTTGGGAGCTGATTAACCCAGGACAAATTAGTATCTACTCTACATGTCTACATATTTTTTAACTAGTAATTACTAACTGCTTAGAAATGCCAAGCGGTAGTCTAAGCACCTTACATATGTTATCTTAATTAATCCTTACGACCATGCCTGTTTGACATATTTCCACCAAGGAGGAAGCTGGCGCTCAGGGAAGTTCCTGGCTGGGCTGGGGTGGGCGCACAGGCCCTGGGAATCTGAGCCCCAGCTCTTTATTGCAATGCTCTGTGGCCTCTCTAATTCTATGTGAAAATGAACGAGCCAAATCCATAAATAAAAGTAAATGAACGGACACATAAAAACTTGCTCCAGCATTAGCCATTTCCTGTTCCAGCTGCATTTCTGTGTTCCTTTAGTTGGGAGGGAATTGGAAAGCGTCATACCACCCTTTGTCAGGCGACTCTGGTCTAGGGCATTTTAGATCCATTTCAAGAGACGTCATCAAGTGGAGACCACCATGGAGTCACCCAGAATCTCTAAGTTATCAGCTCCAAATGTGGAGATGAACACGGCGTTTTCCTATATTTCCATTTCCTTATTTGAATGGTAACTACGTTGCAATGCAGACGGGGGTGGTGTTTCCTGTTTCTCCCT